TATCGCGCATTGACCTTGTTTTAAGATCAATGACGCTCTTGTGTAAGATTTCATTTTCTTTCTCCAATTTTTCTATTTGTTGTCTCGTTAGCTCGTCCGTTTTTGTTGCGTTCTTCGTTGTCGCTTTTCAAATCTTTAACTTCTGAATGCGCAAATTCTATTGAATCTTTCATACTTCTCAGCTCTTGCTCGACTGACTTCACTTTAGTTTCAATAAGATCCAATTTCTCTAGCTTTCTCATCATATTTTTCATCATAACCATAATATCCTTCAACTCTACTTGTTCTTCGGTTTCTATTTCGTCCTCCTGGTTCTTATCATCATTATGTTTCAAATCTTTTGCTTTAGTCGCTTTACTGGGCGAACTGGTACTTGAATTATTTAATTTGTGCGCAGTGTTTAAATTTCCATGGTTTTTATCATCGGGCCCCCACTTTTCATTTACATGGTATTGACATACTTTATGAAGACGGCTAATCAATAAATTTCCATGGTTTTTCGATGGTTTTTATTATCGGGCCCCTGTTTGAAATTTACATGGTTTTCCCACTATCTAGTCTCCCTCGCAGCCTATTCGCGGGTATTCCCACTCACAGGCTGCTAGCTTTCGAACAACATTCCTTTCTGCCTGCTTAGGAATGCTGATTGGAATGTACTATTAATAGTAACAATAATATGCAATCAGAATTTGGCGCGAAGCTGTAGTGAGTATTCGTCACGTGCAATGTCATTCTATTTTTAACTATTGTCGTATTGACTTCATTTATTATCGAAGCAGGATGTCTCTTATAAATATAAAAATAATAAAATGCAGGAAACTCAAAAAAAATTGGTTGAAAGACATCGGTGTTTTACGTATTCGTTAGACACTTTGAAAAAAGTGTATATATTTGGCAAATCTTCAATAGATTTTGGTGATATCATAAGATCATGCGTTGGTGTTGATGTACACAGTTATTCTGCACAACCTGACTTGTTTATTTGCAAACCCTTTTGCTACAAGAAACTTATAAAATTTCAGCGCGCTTCTGAGCATTTGGAAGAAGTTAGGAAGGAAATACTAGAATCGTTTCAGAACAGAGAACAGCCGAGAATTAAGCGACAAATCGTAGAGGACGCTGATAATTGTGATGAAAATCAAACTGTTCTCAATCGCGCGGCAAAATCACTAAAATTTGGAAACACCTTTGCAATTTTTCCGCAAAGCTCGTTGAGTTTATTCAACTCACCGACTATTCCTATTGGGAATGAGTTGCCGCATATTATAACAGCACCAAAACATCTCACTTCGACCCCTATTTCTGAAGGAAATATTTCTCGGTAACTTGCAGATTCGCCAACTGTTAAGTTGTCAGTGCGATACCCCAGCAAAACCCTCAACAAGACACTTTGCAAGAGTTTAAAGTCGATTGGAAACGGCACATGGTAATCCATCACAAATCGCAAATGCTGTGCTGAACTGCCCAACTGTTAAAGAATATGTACTCAAAAAAGCGCTGTCACTTCTGAACAAAGAAGTCATAAGTTTGTGCTCTAAGAATAGCCCTTCAATGTTGAGAAAAACGAGTAAAGCGGATTTGGAAATGTTCGATTTGGAGCTCCTATGTAATGAGTGGAGGGAAAAGGCGCCTTTATTTTTCTCCTTCCTCATGACTGTTTCTGCGAATAAGAGGACCAAAAGGAGTCTGTGGTTCGGCAGTGTTGCTATAGCGGGATCTGTACTACTCAAACAGAAGAATGAGAAAATGAATGCTACAGCTGCAGTTCTTGGAATTGTCATGAAAAGTAAATCAGTCGAAGTATAAAATTTACAAGTTATGTAGCAACACAGCTGAGCTTTATTTATGAGCAATTCGTTTAATATTCTTCAGATTTACTCAGGAAATGTAATCTATTGATCTAAGGTTTAATTGATATAACGTTTAACTTGAACAATATATTGGAACCGTTAGTTTACTGTATTCTGTAAGCTATGTATTATTGTATATTGATTACGTATTACTTTTTTATTGATATTACAACAAAAAAATTTCAGGCGCAGCCACAGAAAAAAGGAGTACATGAAAAATAGAGTTCCCAATCAAGTCCTGCCTGACTCACCTGACACGAATACCCTGAACTACATTGTATCACTATGACCTCAACAAATATACATAAAATATGTTTAGTGGTCTTATACTTAAAATAAATAAATCATTTTATACCTACATAGCAATATTTAAGTGAAGGGTTTCCCTGAGGGGGTTTCCCTCTTTAAGAATCGCAAATCGATCTCTGCAAATCGATATTACTTGGCAAAACGTTTATATCCTTGTCTATGATGGGTTTATGAATTTTGTGACAAATACTCATTATGTATTGCATGTGCGTTGAATCACTGTGGTTGAATTTTCGAATTTGTAGCACATTTTGAATTTATTTCTTTAGACTTTACTGAAAATAGATTTCGATATCTTTGAAAGTTGAAATAGACAAGCGTGTAACGCCTCTAAACTACAGCGCAGCACTACAAAAAATAATTTTTTTAAGAAACCACATCTCATTTACTTCATAGTTTACATTCATAATATTTGAAATATTAGGGGCTGGCCATTAGAAATCCCGGGAAAGGGGGAGGGAGGGGGGGGGGATTCCCCAAAAAAATTCGTGCAAAGAAAAATGCCTGGAAAAAATTCGTGCAGCCATTACGTCAGAAAAAAAATTCCTGCAAGCAAACAGCAAAGTACAAATAGTCTTGAAAAAAAATTCTTGCAGAGGTTAAATGCATTAAAAAAAATCCTGCAGAGACATGAGACTGAAAAAAAAATTTGTGCTGCAAAAATTTTATTGCCACCCTCCCTGGAATTCTAATGGTCCGCCCCTTACTCTGTGTCATTATTTTTTGTTCTAAACAATAATTTGTAATTTATATTTCAGTCCACAATATGCAGATTAAATAAGTTAAAGGTGACTAACTCAAACAGCAACATATTGGCAAAGCTAGATCATCTTGGGGAAAATCATGACGCTGTTCTTATCAAATCGAAAGATCAAATCACCCATGACAACAAGGTTCTATGTACGGTGCAAAAACGTGTAAACAACTGTCCTTGACCCCTGGTATTAAAAAAATGAATTTTCTATGGCATTGCAAGAGAAGAGAGACCTGAAAAAATCTGTTCATCCTGGTTTTGTCATATCATTTGACAATATTGACATTCATGTAAGCCGAAAGAATATGACACTAAACCGTACTTCCTTGTAACAATCAGTGATTGGGTATTGTGTATACTGCCCACATTCTGCTTGTCCACATTCACAAATAGATGCACAGTTTTCACATCAAAGATGCAGATAAAGTGGCAATTTACAATCAGCTTCAAAATGATTCAGAAGAGTTTTTCTCCTACAATCTTTAGTTTTGACAAATGATTTTATGTTCATGTCAACATGATTTAGAATAATTCCATGATATAAAATGAATGTCCTGCTCTGCACCCCATCTCTTCCAGTACGTCCAGTCTTCTGTACATATGCTTCGATGGTTTTTGATGGTCCATAATGTATGACACGATGAACTGCCTTACAGTCAACACCCATGCCGAAAGCAATAGTTGCAACTAAAATTCAAATTGTTCTGTGTACATTTTGAAAAGATTCAAAGATACATTTTTTGTTATCTTCTGGGGTGCAGGAGTGAAGCATTTCCATAAGAACACTCTTGTCTTCTCTGGCAAACATATAGTTCCCCAAAATTCCCTTAAGGGTGGCATATATAATAAAACATTGCTTGATTGTCTGGCGGTATATAATAGTCCTTTCACATTGCTTTTCTTTAGACTTTAACTCATCAGCTAGCCAATTAAAATAAAACTCCAACTTTGTGTCCTTGTGCATACACTCCACAGCATATGATACAATCAGCTTATTTGGACTCTTTTCAATTTTAGAACAGTAATCCAAGCATGGAATACTCAATATGCATTCTTTAGTCAGATGTGTTGCTGTAGCTGTTAGGGTAATCACTGGAACATTTGGTGCTAATGACCTGAGTTCATATAACTTGCTGTATGCTTCACGGAATGCAGCCTTTTTGTTATCTTGTGATATCCCCCTGGGAAGGGAAAGTATAAAAAAAATATTAAATCACTTCTATTTTTAGTCATGCATCAATACATTATTTATTAAGATTATTAATATAGTGCAACTACGATAAATTGATGATATAAATATTGAAAACATTTGGAAACTGTCAATTTATAGGCATAGGGAACATTCATTTAGTATGTAGTCTATGTATGCAATGTAGTATTAAGTTATGCCCACTGCATATATATGTAGTAAATGAATGAGGTCCACAAGGTTTAATAATTGACTGCTGTACTTATAATATATTTAAATTGAATGTATATACAACAAGGCAGGGAAACTCAAATTCATTGTCATATTTGAGTCGTATATAAATAATATAAATATAAATTACATAATCAAACATAAAATTATTATATTAAACCGAATCAAACATTGTATTTACCATATTTTAGAACATTTTCTGATTTTCACTATGAATCGATAAAATTAGTTAGCTTTATATCGTTTAAAATTATAAATTTTAATTAAACTCATCACTCTCTGATAACATGGGCCTCATCGACTGCTAGAGCACATCATCTTGTCGCATAAACTTTACTATTAAGCATATTTCTCCATCGACTGTTCAGTGTCCAAGCTTCTGGAGTGCCATAAACGATAGAATATTCACCAGCTTCGACACCGTCGCAATCTTCTTCCATGCACGAGCTTATATTAACTGCGCTTAATACTCCCAGACTTCTAAGGTGTGCTGCTTGATCATCCATGAGACTTAACAACGGGGAGACAAACAATATGACCTGGCCATCTGGACACCTCGTTTATTACAAACGGAAGTGCCTGGTACATGAGCGATTTTCCAAAGCCAGTGGGCAAATTTACAAACACGTCTTTCTTTTCAATAATTACTGTTCGAATCGCTATTTTCTGATGCGGATTAAGGCAGCGAATGTTGAACTTGTGAGCAGCAATATCGAACGTTTTTTCCAGAGAAGCCATATTGTTCAGTGATTTTCGGCTCAAAAAGACAGAATACGTCTGAAACATTGATTGTGATTGGCTCTGTAATATGGCCGCAAAAAGTTCCGAAATATGGAACCTTGATTGTCATTGGCTAAGCAGGCAGAAAGGAATGTTGTTCGAAAGCTAGCAGCCTGTGAGTGGGAATACCCGCGAACAGGCTGCGAGGGAGACTACCCACTATCCAGCTTCAAAAATGTCAAGTAATTTCCAAACTTTTCACAGTATTTTTACATAATCACTTTTTACAGACATTTTACATCGTGTTGCTTCTTTCTGTTTCCGTGCCTATAAATTTACATGATCATTGCAAAGATGTAAATTTAAAGACAACGGTATTTACAGTAATTATAGATTTACATGATATGTAAATTTATTGTAAATTAATTACATAGTATGCAAATAAATATTCACATAATATTTATATGAGAATAATTTTCCAGTGAATGTTTTGAAATGTTCATTATGAACATATCAAAACATTTTACGAAACGATTCAGGTTAAATTTTACATTAAATCAAAGCTCACAAAATGCAGAACAACGTACCTACAGTACATATTTCGGAAATTCCTTGTTATATAGTTAAAGGCAATAATCTTTCATCCATTTTGGGTGCCGTACCAAAAATATAATAAAAATTAAATTTAATATTTTATCGTGTTGCTATGGCAGCACTAACGTAAACGCGAGCCTGAGTTCAGTGTTGATCAATTACTAATAGTTCATGTTAAATCAATATTTGGAAAACACATGCGAAGAATTGCTGCATGCATGTATTTCTAGTAATTTTGCGATAATGGATTTTGCGATAAAAAATTTTGTTTTCCGACCATGTATTTTCGTTAATAGTGAGGGATGTAAAATGTTTCTTTGTAAATATTAATTATTATTTATCTTGATCCAGCTCCTTAAAGCATATTCAGTGAGTCAACAAACCAAGGCGCCCAAAAATTCCAATTTTATAATATGATTTACGTTTCTCAATATTATTAAACCGGCTATAATGCATAAAAAAATTTATTACTTTTTTAGTACCCGATACAAGCCAAAGATTACGACTACGTGAATACAATATCTCTAATTGCTAATGTTGTACGAATTTATCCATACAGTTGGAATTACAATCCGTGCTTGCAGGTGGAATTCGTTGGCTGCCCAGCACAAGGTAAAAACAAATCGTTATCTAGGCTTTTTGTGCGGGTTTACAACACGTTTTACCTTTACTCATTATCTGTGCTACTTACGTTTTGAGAAATTCCTAAACTTTCTCTGTTTTTTTATGATTTATAAACGTATTATTGCGTAGGTGCTGTACCACTACTTTGAACTCCAGGTTTAAAATTAAAACTCTGAAATTGTCCTTATTTTATTATTATAACAATTATTATGATTATGATTACGATTAGGATTACTATTACGATCGACACGTTGGTGACAACTGCTTTTAAAAATGACCTATTTAGTGCCTTTTCATATTGGCATGGATTTATCCAAACCAACAATTAATATGTTTGCAAAATATTCCTAATTTATCAACCATGTGGAAATGTGGTCTCGACATGTCGGTGAAAACTACTTTGAAAAATGACCTATATAGGGCCTTTTCATACTGGCGTGGATTTATCCAAGCCAACACTCATCTGAGGATACAAGCATTCAAGCTTCCTATCATAAATGTGGTTCACGATGCTTAAAGCTCGATTTCTTTTCGTGGATGTTCCCAAAAGTTGAGAAAATTTGACGAAATGGCGAAGCTCTTCCTCAAGGTCATCCTTGACAATATCATTAGGATAACTATTTGCAATGCATTGTGCTTGTTCCTGGATAACTTCTGTTCTCGGGTCAGTGGGGGGATTGATTACATCAAAACGGCTTGCAACCGTATCAATGACTTTATATCTTTCTGAAAGCTTTACCAAAAGACTATCCAACACTTTGTAGAAGATATTCATTTTGAAGCTTTCTTCAGCCGTCATTGTGCGCGATCGTTTTTTTTTTAAGTAATGCTTTGCTCCAACGAAGAAGAAACTTTTTTGCCTCTTCCACGCTTTCCCACGAATGTCTAAGATTTTGTATCTCATTTCGTAATGACGAAAGATGCTTAACGTCATCAGCGATGGAAATATCTGCATAATGTAACACCTTGTTAACATCGTCAATAGACTGGAGAACTTTGAAGCAAATTGTTGCCATTAGAATATATTCAAATGACTTCATCCAATTTCAGCATCACTGCAGCCCAAATCTGTCAAATCAAGGTCTGTCAGAATTTGAGAAAGGACCTCGAGCATCTTGGTGCGATTCTTCACTAAAGCACGTACGGCATGCATCTATTCTTGCACTCCACCTTGTGTTTGATAGGCCATGCAACGATACACCAGCTGTTTGTTTGACGATACACCAGCTGTTTCTCCAGCGAGCAGGACTGCCAGAAAATAAATTGTAAAGTTTTTGAACATTCCCAAAGAAACTTTTGATTTCGGGAGCAACTTCTGCTGCATGAACACCACGTAAATCTCAAGTATGAGCAGTGTATGGGACTAATATTGCTTGCGAATTTTTCTCCAAGAGTAAGGCTTGAACTCTCTTGTATCATCCCGACAAGTTTGATCCATTCTCGTAGCCTTGTCCTCTACATCTACCAATGTCAATGTTATGGTCCTCGAGAACCTGCTTAAGATAACTTTACAAATATCTTTACCTTTTTTCTTTTCACAATCTTGAACTTTAAGAAATCTTTCCATCACCTCCCAAATGCCGTTTTTCAAAACACTATATCGAATAACAAAGGTGAATTGCTCGGTATGTGAATCATCTGGTGTTCCATCGACAATGAGACCGTAATAATATGACTTCTCTATCTCCGTTGGAATTTCAGTTTTCACCTTCTTGACACAGAGTTTTATGAACTCGTTTCGACTTTGCCAAGGTAAATAGTGTGCTTGCATACGTTCTCCATGTTTCTGATGTTTTATGACTGTGTCCAAATGATTTTGAATGGTCGAATCATGATTACCAATGAGTTTCAAGCTTTCTAGAATTAGATAAATGCTGTGCTGAGTGGATATGTTACTACCTTAATAAATAAGCAGAAACTGGACGTTTCAGTCGAAGGCCCTTCGTCAAGAGTTAGTAGCAGGGATCGGGGAAAATGCACAGGTTTTTATACTAAGAGTATGAAAGCATCACGTGACAAAAAAAATTAAACCAATTAGATGGATTTAATAATAACAAAGTGTAAACAAAATATGTAAATCGCATTACAGAATATAATATAATTAAAAATATAAAAATAAACAGGAAGTTAAGACAATTACTACAAAAAATAATAATCAAAACAAAACACGAATGGGAATAAGGTAAAAGTAATAAATAGAAGTTGTCAATGTCTGCTATAGACAGGCAAAGACAGATGGCATCATAGACAAAACAGAAGACATGTCTTCTGGATTGTCTATGATGGCATTAAACATAAGAAAAGCGTTCATTAATGCCAGAAGGGTGAATAGTGCCAAGTTTGGATATGAGGCGCATTTCATGTCGTTTGCGGCTATCGTTGCTTCCAGAAATGGGACAGAGGGCTCGAATTAACATATCTGAAACACTGTGATTGCCATCATTATAATGTCTGGCAACAGGTTGGTTAGCATCATTGCCAATAACTGCACGCCGATGCTCACCAAACCTTGTCCTTAAACATCTTCCAGTTTCCCCAATGTAAAGCATGCCACATCTGCTGCAAGAGATGCAGTAGATGAGATGGGAGGAGGTGCACGTGAAATGGTGCTTGATGTGAAATTCAGATTTAGGTGCCGAAACAATAGTGGTGGAATCTATAAAATCACAGGTTTTACATTTCGACGACAGGCAAGGAAAAGTGCCTTTCTGTGACGTCGAAGCCTGTGTTAGGGAGCTATGGACAAGGGTTTCACGGATATTTTTGCTGTGTCGAAAAGAAACTAAGGGATTATCGGAGAAATTGGAAGATGTTTCAGGGTCCTTTTTCAAAATATGGAAATTCTTGTTGATGACATCTCTAACTTTGAAATTGAAAGGATGATAGTTAAATACTAGGAGGATTTTGTTGTTGCCTGCGACATTAGACACAGGGTCTGTGAGGGTGTTAGAACGGGGAATTTGGGAGGTCTTCGAAAAGGCAGTGTCTAATAGAGAGGTAGGATAACCACGCTGGACAAAAAAGTGTCTCATCTCCAGACTTTTGGCCTGAAAATCTTCGTCTTCACTGCAGATGCGGCGAAGACGAAGGAACTGAGAGAAGGGAATCGACCTTTTGGTGTGGTTGGGGTGGGAAGAGGAAAATAGAAGATAGCTATGGGAGTCAGTGGGCTTGTAGAACACAGAAGTAGATAGTTTGTTACCATTGATTGATACAAGGATATCTAAGAATGATACACTGGTCTCACTGATCTCCCATGTGAACTGGAGTGCTGGATGAAAATTATTAACAAAGTTAATAAAGCGTTCCAATTCGACACGAGAACATGATGCTGTGCCAAGACAGTCATCTATGTACCTACGAAGGTAATCTGGGATGGGATCAGTGTACTGTTCGAAGATTTGTTTTTCCACAAAACCAACAAACAAATTAGCATAGTTGGGTCCCATTATAGTTCCCATTGCTACACCATTTATCTGTTGGTAATGCTCACCATCAAAGGAAAGATTGTTGAGGGTAAGCACCAAATCAGCCAATCCGACCAAAACAGAAGTGGGGGGTTCCTGGTTAGGGCGTAATGGGACCCAACTATGCTAATTTGTTTGTTGGTTTTGCGGAAAAACAAATCTTCGAACAGTACACTGACCCAGAACCCTAACCAGGAACCGACCACTTCTGTTTTGGTCCGATTGGCTGATTTGGTGCTTACTCTCAACAATTTTTCCTTTGATGGTGAGCATTACCAACAGATAAATGGTGTAGCAATGGGAACTATAATGGGACCCAACTATGCTAATTTGTTTGTTGATTTTGTGGAAAAACAAATCTTCGAACAGTACACCGATCCCATCCCTGATTACCTTGGTAGGTACATAGATGACTGTCTTGGCACAGCATCATGTTCTCGTGTCGAATTGGAACGCCCTATTAACTTTGTTAATAATTTTCATCCAGCCCTCCAGTTCACAAGGAAGATCTGTGAGACCACTGTATCATTCTTAGATATCCTTGTAT